CACTGTCATAATGTCAGCATGGTTATCTGAATGTGTATTTAGTCCATCCACCAAACATGTAGACAATGAATAGAGTGGGAATTACCCATGGCAGAAGGCAGGTTTATAAAATCAAGTGGAGTGTCTTCAGGGCAGTGTGAGACTTAGGGAATTCCCTCAGGTGTGGTGGTAACCTCCAGAAATGTAGTTATGTTACAATTAGTGTGTGTTGAAAGAATTTGGTCAGAATATGAATGTTAGGGCAGAATCAATTACCTCTCATACCTTAGCCCAACGTGATTTGAAGCACATAGCAATTACATGTCCATTTGTAATTGGAATATCAGAAGGGATTAAAAATCCACAGGTTTCCAGATATGATTACTAGACTCCAAAGTCACATACCAGATAGAGCAAATGGGTGAATTGCCTCTTCAACAAGTGCACATGCACCAGTAACAGCTTTGCTTTAATTGTCCATACTCTACAGGCAGAGCTCTGGGAGGTTGATGTAGTAACAACCTCTTGCCTTTTGCTGACTCTAATGTCTCCAAAATGTCCGCTGCAGCCTGTGGAGTAAGCCTTCTATCTCAGACAATGGTAACCCATTCTACTAGGATCAAAGCAAAAGAAACAAGCCTTACGTTGTGTCTGAAGTTCTGTGTCTGGGGAGCATGATGAATTGAACTGATAAATATGTAAAGAGGAGCAGAGCTAAAACATTATTTAGTGTTTTTCTCATGTACATGAAAACCTTCATGAAGCTCCAAAGAAATGCCCGTGACCAAGATCCTAGCAGGCCTTTTAAGCAAAAAATAATTATGGGGAAACAAATGAGACCAGTGAAAATTTCTAGAGGAAGTAATGTGTGGGGACAAGACCAGGAGACATCCAGAAATTAGTTGACAGTAAGGGCTCTGCATTAAGTTTGTCAGTACTGATTTTAACAGTCACTCCCAGTCTTCAGTTATGACATATGGTCTTAGAATAGGGAGTTTACCTTCTACAGGATGGATATTTCACTCTGGGGTATATCAGGGAATTTTTTCTCATATGCTTTTGTTTATTATTCTTTAGTTCGTTGTATTTTAGGATAGTGTATTCTGAACTCTTTTATAGGTATTAGGTTAAATGTTTTATGTACATTATTTTATTGACACAATGAACCTGTGAATAGTTACTTAATTTATTTTTATTTTTGAATTATGTGTATGCCTGTCTTTTGGGTCTATATAGAAACGTGAGTGTGGGTGCCTGTGTAGAATGGAAGAAGGGTGTTGAATCCCCTGGAGTTGAAGTTATAGGCCACTGTGATCTATCTTATGTAATAGCTGGACACTGAATTTGAGTCCTTTGGGGGAGTAGCACATGCTTTTAACTACTCAACATCTCGCCAGTCCCAGATGAATAGTTATTGCTGTATTATATAATTAATTAAGGAAGTAAGCATAAAGTGTAGTGAAATTTAATAATTTTGGTAAGCTAACACTGAGACTGAACCACCCTGTATGTCTGGTGGTTGTAGCTAGAGTTTTCCTGCCTGGCCCACAGTCAGGACAAATCTCTCTCACCTGCCAGTCCCACAGCTGCTCAGACCTGACCAAGTAAACACAGAGACTTATATTGCTTACAAACTGTATGGCCATGGCAGGCTTCTTGCTAACTGTTCTTACAGCTTAAATTAATCCATTTCTATAAATCTATACCTTGCCACATGGCTCGTGGCTGACCGGCATCTTCACATGCTGTTTGTCATCATGGCGGCTGGCAATGTCTCTCTCTCAGCCTTCCACTTCCCAGCTTTATTCTCCTCCTTGTCCCGCCTATATTTCCTGCCTGGCCACTGGCCAATCAGTGATTTGTTTATTGACCAATCAGCAACACACTTGACATACAGACCATCCCACAGCAGGTGGTCCTATCTAAAATGTTTGTTTAGTCCAGTAGTTTCAGATACTTATACTATGGAATTCTTTGAATGATGATTTTTCTTTTGGTTGTTGAAAAGATTAAGTTAAAGAAAACAAGTAACTTGCCTTTGGTCACTTAATAAGAAAATGACTTCTAGGATTCAAATTCAAATGTATCATGTTCCAATATTTTTGTGTATCAGAGTAATTTGTTTGATTCTACAGTAAAAATATGTATTTTGTACTTTTACTCAGCACACACAAATGAATACCTCAGCACACATACAAATGTGTACCTAATTGTGACATTATAAGACATAAATTTTGGATTTCATCTTTAGCTCCCACTTAACAGCTTCCTTTTGACTCTAAGTGACAGGCTTTCTAGCTGTCCTTGGGCTTTGACTTGAACTGGTAATGAATCCTCTGATTTCCCTTTATCTAATTAGAAATCATGAGGCTATCCTCTTTCTACAATTGTCCTGTTCCACACTACATATGGTAGAAGTTTCTACAAGAGGCCAACAAGAATGACAATCCTTTCCTACCCTCCCAAAGTCAGTTTATAAGCATTTGATCATTTCTATTTTGCATAATCTCATTTTGACATAGTTACCGATGCTTGCATCCTGACTATTCAATGAAACCAATATAAAAACATAAAAGAACAGAGTTTGGGGGACTTTCAGACTGCAGATTAAGAGTCCTGGACGGAAAGAACGTGAAGTTCTTTCCTGCTTCTCCCAATCTGACCATCTGTACCTCTTCATCTATCTTTTGTAGCATCTGTTATGACAAACACTTTAACCTGTTTGCTTGATTTCTGAGTTTCCTTAAAAGTTAAACACTAGGAGAGGGCTGTAAGAAGTCTCCTGTATAGCCAGTTGCTCAAAATTGCCTGTATCTTGTGACTGTCATCGGAAGCGGAGGGGGCCACCTGGTGACTGAGATGCCAGCCTGTGGGCTCTGTCTCTAGGTAGCTGGTGTCACATTACATTTGATGAGAAGACACTCACCTAGTGTTCCCTTTGGACTTCATAGCTTTCTTCCTAGAGATCTCCATGTCTCTAAAGGTCATGGAGCAAGAGTAAGAGAGCAACCAGAAGTCTTGTATCTCTTGCATGTGGTGCAAGAGCAGAGGAAAAACCAGAAGCCTTGTCTTCCCAACACAGAATGACTAATAGAAAGCATCCATAGACTAGCACCCTTATTGTTCGCCCTGCTACTCTGGGGCTTCCTACTCTAGCCCATTTCATCCTAACTTATTCCACCTTAATCTATTTCAGTTATTATTATTAATTATTATTGAAATACCCATTACGACCGTTAGACTGAATTTGTGGCATGTATGTCCCTGACAAGGTGTGACAAAGTGTGAGTAGACTGTCACTTTCTTGGGTCATCGTGGTTGCAATTAGCTCAATTTTACCTACAATGAATGGGATGCGGAAGTGACATTTGGGCTGTGCTTTGAAGTATTCTTTCTAGTTAGATTTGTCCAAAGACGTTCTCATTGTGGAGAGCCTGACTAAACCATCCTGCGAAGGGGAATCTTCACTGTCCTATTTTTCTGTCAAAATATTGATGATCACTTTTGAGGTTAAAACAGCAACATAGCAATCTCTTGAGTACTATGAAGGGGTGATTTAAATGTAAATACAGATGTTCCACCCTTATTTTGTGGTGATGTCTTCCACAAATATCTGATACCTCAGAGTGCATTGATTTTTCTTTTTAAATTTCCCAACTAACATATCTAGATTATTCTACCTGGGAGTGTGAGAACCTAAATCAGTGATATGTGTGTGTGGGGGCAACTGTATGGGTTTTCCTAAATTTCTACAAATTGAAATGAATTCTGCTAAGAAGTTTCTCCTCTTCTTTCATTTTTTTTATTGACTCTCAGTCTTTGAAGGAGACTTTGCTTATTTGTATTATCCCCAAACACCTCTGCATTACCTAAATCAAGACTCCTGGTAGATATTCCGTTGGTATTATTGGGCTAGTAATGTATGATCTCCAATTTTTATAGATTTTTAATTAAAAGATTACATGACTTTGCCCCTTCACTTTTCTCCTTCCAGTCTATCCCAAATACTCTAACCCAACTACTACCATGTCTCCCGTCATTCTCAAATCGGTAGCCTCTTTTTCTTTGATTATTATGCTGTACACATAAATACAACTTCCTGGGTCCATTTTTGTTGTTTGTGTGTATATGTTTTCATGGCTGACTTTAAGAGTTTTCCTCAATCTAAGTGCATTCATTGGTTCTTATGATTTCCAAAGTTAAAAATAGTTCCTTTCAAGCCGGGCGGTGGTGGCGCACGCCTTTAATCCCAGCACTTGGGAGGCAGAGCCAGGCGGATCTCTGTGAGTTCGAGGCCAGCCTGGACTACCAAGTGAGTCCCAGGAAAGACGCAAAGCTACACAGAGAAACCCTGTCTCGAAAAAAAACCAAAAAAAAAAAGTTTGTTTAAAAAAAAAAATAGTTCCTTTCATATCTGAAATTTTTTTTTTTAAATTCTGTGGAAGGTTATTTTCAAAATTTAGTAGATCATTACACAGTGTTTTTTTTGTTAAGAATTTAAGTAAGAATTTATTTTTATTCAACTGGTTTTTGCTAAAGCATTGCTAGATACAATATTTTATATACATAATGAAAGGGAAAATAGTTACCTTCAGTTCTGTGTGGGATCAGGGATGATTTTAGAAGATTAATGTTGACTGATACAGATTTTGTATCATATGGAAGAGAAAAAAATCTTATTGCTTTAAACACAATAGTAGACCTTCTATCTTTTGAAACCGAGTTAAGCTCTCTGCATAAAATGTTAAGGGATTGGTAAAGCTCTCATCTCTGTTACAGTGAACAGTAAATTCTAGATTTGTTTTTTTTTTTTTCAGTTCTGGATGATTGAACTTGCTGCAAAACAAGTTCATTCCTGAAACGTGACACAAGAAGAAGAATCTTCAATAGAAAGCAGTCACCCTACTGTCATCTCTCAGGGTGACCACATGTCACTGTCTTCCTCATCGTTTGCATCAAACACTGGACAAACCTAAGTGTGCAACAAGAAATAAGTGTTTACACAGTAACTGCTCTCTCCAATGGGAGGGCTGAGATTTAAGCACCTCTGCTGGGGGAGCTTTGTTGAGTCTGGGGGAACATTCCAGTCAGTGTTAATAATCTTCCTTCTGATTCCATGTTCCTTGACTGCGGTGGATTATAGGGCAGCGCCAATTTTGCCAAATGAGACTTTCCTTTGGGTCTGGAATGTCCCAACTGAAGCTTGTGTTGGAGCATTTAATCACTCAATAGATTTGAGTCTCTTCCCTTTAACCGGAAGTCCCCAAAAAAATGCCACAGGGCAGGCTGTCACAATATTTTATGCTAACTGACTTGGAAAGTATCCATATATAGATAAGAAATAAGCAGAACCGGGCGGTGGTGGCGCACGCCTTTAATCCCAGCACTCGGGAGGCAGAGCCAGGCGGATCTCTGTGAGTTCGAGGCCAGCCTGGGCTACCAAGTGAGTTCCAGGAAAAGGCGCAAAGCTACACAGAGAAACCCTGTCTCGAAAAACCAAAAAAAAAAAAAAAAAAAAAAAAAAAAAAAAAAAAAAGAAATAAGCAGAAGTGTTTGGAGGAATACCTCAGGCGGGAAATTTGCAAGAGCATTTGGACAAAGTTAAGACTGACATTGAGCATTATATTCCAGTAGACCAATTGGGCTTAGCTGTCATTGACTGGGAAGAATGGAGGCCTACCTGGGCACGAAACTGGACACCCAAGGATATTTATAGAAACAAGTCTATTCAGTTGGTACAGACCCAAGATCCAGGTATGAACATTACACAAGCCACCAAGAAAGCCAAAGAGGAATTTGAAAAGGCAGCAAGAAAGTTCATGGAAGAGACATTAAAACTGGGTAAAAGACTTAAGCCTCGATACTTATGGGGGTTTTATCTTTTTCCTGATTGGTATAACAATAATTATTTAGAGCCAGGCTATGATGGAAAATGTCCTAGTATAGAAATAGAAAGAAATAATGATCTTGACTGGATATGGAAAGAAAGCACTGCCCTTTACCCATCGACCTATCTGAGGAGTGAATTGAAATTATCTCCAAATGCAAAACTCTACAGTCGCTACCGTATATTGGAGGGCATCAGGACTTCTAAAGTGCATGGGGAAAACAATCCACTTCCCGTCTTTCTGTATACACACGTTGTTTTTACTAACCAAGTCTGGGAATTCCTTTCTATTGTGAGTAAATGAAAGTATTACAGTTTTGTGCTACTGTGCAGGAAATAGTGTCAACAGGAATGTAATGTTATTCAAAAGTGTAATTCAGCTTTATGCATCATTTAGGAACATACACATCAGTAGTTCTATGTTCTCCAAAGGAGACAAAATTACTATATTTTTAGTGTTTAATATAATCATATGATCTGTTAGCAACCATGAAAGAACTGCAAAATGTAGACAATATTTTATTTCTTTTTTTCTTCTTCTTCTCCTCCTTCTTTCTCCTTCTCCTTCTTTCTCCTTCTCCTCCTCCTCCTTCTTCTTTTCTTCTTCTTCCTCTCCTCCTTCTTCCTCTCCTTCCTCTCCTCCTCTTCCTCTTCCTCCTCCTCCTCCTCTTCTCCTTCTTCTTCTTCTTCTTCTTCCTTCTTCTTCTTCTTCTTCTTCTTCTTCTTCTTCTTCTTCTTCTTCTTCTTCTTCTTCTTCTTCTTCTTCTTCCAGGGATCTGGGTCTTTTGCTAGCAGAAGTCATTAAAACAATGATATATTCTTATATAGTAAAGAAATGCCTGAGGAGAAGCTTTAAAGACCATAGACGTATTTAAAGTGTTATTGTTAGGTCAGCATGCTCAGTTTGGTGACGTTGTCCTGTGTAAATGCTTCCAGCGATTACTCCCTGCTAACTCTTTGCATCGCCTTTGTCAGAATGACCTTGTGAATACAATTGGTGAAGCGGTTGCACTGGGGACCAGTGGAATTGTAATATGGGATTCTACATATATAGCACAACGTGCACAGGTGAGTTATCGGTAGGAAAGAGAAAATAATTTTATCCTTAATGCTCATCAGGACTTTGTGTTAAGAAAATAGCATTATACTTGGCAATAAGTAAATGCCTGGTATTTGCCAGATCCAGATATGCTGTATTTTTTGTTGTTGTTATGAAGTAGAAAATGTTGAACCTGTCTTCCAGTGAGGAATCAGATGCTCGATGAGATTAACTGAAGTTCTCTAGGCTCCATAGTTTGTAAGTAGCAAAACCAGGACTACTATTTCAGTTTTCTGGCATGATGTTTAATGTCAGACAACAGGTCTCTATAATTTATTTCCCCATATCAAGTCCTGTTCTCACTTTTACTAGTCTCTTCTATACAAGAAAGAGTTTTGTGCATATATGTTGTGCATCTGTGTGTGTCAATGTATGTGAGTTTAACATGGCTAAGCAGAAGCTGAAGGTTTTGTGTGTGTGTGTGTGTGTGTGTGTGTGTGTGTGTGTGTGTGTGTGTATACAAATGATGAATACATCATGGAGATTCTCAGAGAAGCTTATTGCCCAGGAGTCCTGTCCTGCTCTTGTAGAGAACAGATGTTATATTCTCAGGCTAAGACAGGCTTTTGAGTAGCACATTTGTCTTTTAGAGAACATCAATATATCATGTAAAATCACTGAAACAGATTCATATGCTAGATTCTCCAAGTCTTACTTTTCAAAAACCTATCTCATATAATATTATTGTCTTTAGTTTGATCATCAATAGAATGTAAGCAACGGAAAATGCAAGTCAGAGAATGGGATCTATCTCTTGGTAAAATCTTTTGAGTTGAAGAAAATTTTCTTAAAATCATAACCTTCTGAGGTATATTTCAAATTCTTGCTGTTGTTATTGGTGAAATTATTAAGGCCACTCCACGTAGTTAAAAGGGAGGTTTATTTTGTGGAGTAACTTACAAGTGAAGGGATAGGTTACAGGGTCTGGGAAAGGTGTAGCGCAGTCCGGCGGTGTTCTCTGGAGCACTCTGCTCAGTCTGCCTCTAGCGTCCTGGGTCCAGGAACCAAGAGAGCCGGCGCATCTGGATCTCAGGTCTTCAGGGTCCTCTCTAGGCCCTGCCTTGTAGGCATGACAGTTACCGAAGCCTCAGTGGGGGTTGGAACTTCCAGGTCAAAGCTGGAATGGCTACCCACTACATGATGTTCTTCCAAAATTATAAATACCTTTCTCAAGGATATTAATTTGGTGGTGGGTCTGTTTATGATCTCTATATACTACCTCTTTTAAAAATAAAAGAATTGAGAACTCCTTCCTCTGGGAGGAATCAATTAGGCATCCACAGTGAGTAGGTGAGAGGGTCACTCTTCAGCTGTCACATTTGTTTTTAATGTCACTTTGATCTCAGCTGTCCATTGTTTTACCATTCCCCGCAAAGATCTACCATACGATTTATTCAAGGGTAGGCTTCAACTTCGATGTCACTGTTTTCCATTTTAGGTACTGTTTTAGTATTGTCTCTTATAGACTCTCCATATTTCAGTGACTTTCCCCAGTTTATGATGAGCTTTACTTCCATCATCACACTCCTTTGTTTTGTGTCATTTCTGCTCAGGATTCTCATGAATCACTTTTCATGTTTCCTCAGATTCCCTGAGAAAATGATGATACCAAGTATAAAGTGTGTGTGTGTCTCTCTCTCTCTGTGTGTGTAGACACAGAGGCAATATTGAGTCTTCCTCTGTTGCTCTCCACCTTATCTTTTAAGGGAGGTCTCTCACTTAACCCAGAGTTTAGCAGTTCAGCTCTATTGACTGGCCAGAAAACCTAAAATATTGACTTGTCTCAGTCTTTCTAGTGCTGGGCATATAATCAAATGACATTCTACTTGGTTTTCGGAAGTTAGTTATGAGAATAAATTCCAGGTTCTTTTTTTTTTTTGGTTTTTCGAGACAGGGTTTCTCTGTGTAGCTTTGCGCCTTTTCCTGGAACTCACTTGGTAGCCCAGGCTGGCCTCGAACTCACAGAGATCCGCCTGGCTCTGCCTTCCGAGTGCTGGGATTAAAGGCGTGCGCCACCACCGCCCGGCCAAATTCCAGGTTCTTATACTTTCACATGAACCATCTTCTTAGTCTTCCTGTTCATGGCCTTTCCCCGAGTTGTTAAAATTGATTCACAAAAAGTGTCAAGTAAGCCATCTCCTTCTACTCCACTTTATCTGATCCAATGGTGTGATGAAGCCAGTTCGACCAGTCCTACTTAATGAGACATGCTTTTTTAATATTTGGGATCCTCATGAGCCAGTTATTAAACATGGTCATTAATAAAAATTGAAGGATAAATAAATTTCATCAAATACAAAAATAACTAATGCTTAGAATACATCAGCTATTTTGCTTCATGTGTACCCCAGTACCTGAGATTGTGTATGCATTGGGGGAACACTCTAGAATGGATGTTATTCACATCATACTCTTATACTGTGAAATAGTAGCTTGCTCAGTTCTCAACTCTGCATTCAGTGTTATTGATGGGCAACTTGAAGTTGGCCAGTGTGGGTTTAATTATACATTATCTCTTAGGTTTCCAGTTTAAATCTTTCCATAGAGAAGATGAAAGATGATTCTCAAATCATTCTCATCCTTGTAATATTTCTTTTGTCTAATCCTTGTCTCTGCAAACAACTTCAATACTCTTTAAATTTGGTATAATTTTTAATGCATCATTAGTACTGAGAATGTAATATTAAAGAATATTGACACAATCCATAAACACTTAGAATATAATAGTGTTCAGGAAAAACTACATAAAAATTAAAATATAGGCGCTTTATAAGCAACTAACACAGAGATATGAGTCTACAAAAAAGTGTCTTGGATGGTTACTTTCTAATTAAAGTACAACCAGAATGACAAGAAGTAAATCACATTTAAAATCTAAATATACAGCATTCCACATCAATGGAATATCAGAAGAGCTTCATATGAACCTGCTAAGTTAGTTGTTCTTAGTTTGGTTTCTATTGCAACAAAACACTCTGATCAAAAGTGACTTATAGTGAAAGCATATATTTGGCTTATATATCCTGATCATAGTCCGTTGTTGAGGGATTACAGGGCAGAAACTCAAGGCAGGAACTTGGAAGTTGGAACTGAAACAGAGCCATAGTGGAAGGATACCTGGCAGCTGGCTTTCCAGGCTCAATTTCACCTACTTCCCTTTTTGGCCCTTTGAACATGCTTCTAATCATATCTACAGTCTCCTCCATTGTAAACTCATTCAGTCACAGGATTTGGGGACAGAAGAGCACATATCTTTGCCAGGCCATTATTGAACCAAAAATAGAGTCTCACCACAAGGAAAATAGCAAATAGACTCGAGTCCGAGGTGCCAAGGTCCTTTGCTTTTCCTGCCAATGTGCTACCACAGTTGGCTCATCCAGTAGAACTGTTGATCATGACAGATCTTGATCAACAATGTTTTTTAATGGCCAGTGACCAAGTGTTAGAGCACAGTAATGTTAAGATGGACCACTTCTGCTTTTTTTCTCTCTGTCTTCACAGTTTGTTAAAGAACTGTCATTGTGCACACCTTAAACTGTATATCACTTAGCTAAAACATACACAGTTGAACATATTTTATTATTTTGAGACATCAATTTTGAATCTGTTTAATTATGTTTAAATCATCTGACAAATGTGACTTTTATTAAAATTATTTATGATTTATTGAGGGTTAACTGAAGAAATGGTAGGTTCCATATACATCTTATCATTTGTCTTCACAATAAGCCTATGAGGCAGACTGCAACATCATCTTTAATTTTCAAGTGATGAAACTGAAGCATAATCAAATTAACCACCTTTCCTTATGTGATCCCAAGAGCAAACTCAGATTTACAAATTTGAGCTATCTTAGATTGGCAGACATGATTATTAACGAAAGTGATACTGCTATTAGGCAAGTTAACCTCAAAGCCCATAGTCTAACAGTTGTAAAATTCCATATTCTTGATTAATCCATTTATCATTGGGAAAGATGAAGTCTAGGATAGGTTAAGCCTCAACTAAACAATTCTTCAGTGGCATGAAATGGCCTACAAAATTTACAAATGTTAAAATACAGTTGGAATAACCTTGCTTGTTGAGTGAAAAAGAGTATTTCCTATCATTATTCAGTCTGATGCTTCCTTTATCTTTAAGAGTTACTATAGTATATCTGTTCACATAGGAACTTGTACCTTGCTACACTGACTGTCTTATTATTTTACAGACAGGTTGTCCAACTCTCCATAAATACATGAGGACTACCCTGAATCCGTACATAATCAACGCCACCCTAGCAGCCAAAATGTGCAGCCAAACACTTTGCAGTCATCGAGGCATCTGCACAAGGAAAGATGTGAATTCAGATCACTATATTCAGTTGAATCCAAAGAACTTAGAAATTAAACTTTTGAAAAATGGGAGTTTTGAAGTAGTTGGCAACCCCACGGTTGGAGACCTGAAGTACTTTTCTGAGCACTTTAAATGCAACTGTTTTACCAACATGGATTGTAAAGAGAGATCTGACATTGAAAATGTGGAAAATGTTAAAGTGTGCACTGCAAATGGTATTTGTATAGATACCTGTGTAGAACCAGACCAAGCATTCTGTCTCTTACCTGGAAAAAGCTTTCTCTTTTTCACAGCCATCACTCACATACTCTATCATCTGCTCTAGGGGCCCTTGAATTTCCTAGGGAAGGTATCTGTGGGTGCCCCTTAGTTATATCTGCTCTGAAAATTTTTTTTTGTTATAGTCTTGTGCTAACTCAAATGCAAAATGGGATTCTATTTTACAAAAGTAATTCTATTTTAATAATTGAGATTATATTTTGATATTTAAAGGCAAAATGTCTATTCTTCTAGGAAAGACTGGTAGCAAACAAGGCAGCCATACTTGGATATTAGTTTTTGTCTCAGGAGAATGAAGACTGAGTAAAATCAAATTCCTGTAAATGAGTGCCTTTATTAGTAGTTTGTCATAGTTTAAAAAATGATCAAGGAAGTATTAAAAACTCCTTATATAAAAAAGTATGCTAAAGTATTCTGAAGTGTGCTAGTCAGCCCAATTATAGAACTGTGAATTTTGTAACTTTTTAAATAAAATTTGTATATCTTTATTTTATAGTAAGATAAACTTTACAAATGACAATCTTACATATTTTTACATGTTTTCAGAAACCACTTTTATACTGTAAGCTAATTATTTTTCATTCCTAATTGTCAAGTTTAATTTGTGTTTCCCAAATGACCATTTTCATTTAATCACTCACATGATCATTCATTTGTTTCATAACACATTTATTGACTATTTATTTCTCTCAAGCTTGCTATTCAGTATTGCCAAATGTGACTTTGTTGTTTGATGGTGAAAGAAATGGAGCAGGAGTGGATCCGGGGAGGAAGGGGGTTGCTGGGCGGAGTAGAGGGCGAGGAAACTGTGATTAGGATGTATTGTATGAGAGAAAAATCTATTTTCAATAAAAAAAAAGAAAATGACAACAGTGTGTTTTAAATCAGGTGGACATAAGTCTGAGCTCACATACAGGATGTGTTACATGGTTCAAGCATGGAGGTTAGGGGTGGCATGGGCAGGGCTGACCAGAGTAGGTCAAGACACTGGGTGTGGGATTTGGTTAGATCTGAGGATCGAGGAGGGCACATAGAAGGAAAAATCTGATGGGCTTACATGACTTTGCCCTAGTACAAGATACACAGAACCAGATTGGACCTGGAAGTTGGATGAGGCATAGGAGGAATGAAATCAGGTGGTAGGAGGGGGAATCTGGGCTGCTATGCAAGGTGTGCATCCTGGCCAAAGCCTAGAGTTTGGGTATGGTACAGGCAGGGATGATAAAAACACCAGCGTAGGCTATGTGACCTGGGATAGTTGGGTGATATGTGGAGGGGAGGATCAGGTGGCTCAGCTCTGGTACATGATGTGTAGGACTGGAATGAATGAAGAGGTTGGATGTGTCTTGAGAGATGAAGTCATGTGGTAGGAGGAGTCCCGAGCTGACTTGAAGGATGCATATCCTGCCCAAACCTGGAGTTTGTTGACAGTGGCAGCACTGTTGACCAGACTAGGCTGGAGCACATGGAGCGGAGGATCAGGAGGACTTTCTTGGCTGGGCCCTGGTGGAACGTGTGCTGGGCCTAGCTGGGCAGAAAAGTTGAATGTCTTGTTTTATGTTTTAATTAGTTTATTGATTAATTGTATTTTATTTATATATTTGTGTGTATGTATGCCTAACATGTGTTAGAGTTTATAGAGGCTGGAAGAGGGTGTCAGATCCTATGGATTTGGAGTTATAAATGGCTATAAGTCAACCATATAGATTCTAGTAACTGAACTCCAGTCTTCCGCATGAGCATCCCAATGTTCCTAACCACTGAAGCATCTTTTCCCATCTGTGGAAGTTGTTTTACAGTGAGAATAGTTAATAAGTGGTATATGAGAGAAAGAACTTCAGAGAAGGAGATTATTGATTGTGCTTATTAGAGTGGTGTGAAGCAAAAGATAACCAAGTGATGAATCTTTTAATGACCCACCTTGAGAACTAGGAATTTGCAATAAAGACATTCACTCATCTTTAGGTCTGTTCTATTTTTCTCCACTCACAATATACAGTATCTGCTTTTGCTCCTCACTCAACCTAAAGTTTCAGCACCATGAAAATGGCTATTTGGTCTGTTTTATGCATAGCTGTTTATATAATGTGACAAAATGTACCTGGGACATAGGAAGAGCCCATTAAATATTTGTTGAATAAGGAAATCTAATGGGGATTCTGTACAGGCTTTTGATATTTCTGAATGGTAGTGGTCATTTTTGATAACTTTCATTATGGGCTATCATGTTGTAGTAAACCATATTATTTTATTTTCATGGATGGCATAACAGGTTTGTGATGAAAGAATGCCAAGGGTTAAGGGCACTTACAGATCTTCCAAAGGACCTGAGTTCAAAGTAAATCATCCGTATTGCATGGCTCACAACTGCTTGTAACTTAAGCTTCAGGGGATTGGAAAGCCTATTGTAGCTTCCAGAGAAACTTCTATACAAATGTCTGATACACAGATATATGCATGAAAAAAATTCTGGAGACAGGCTAAACTTGTGCTTTGTCCTTTTTCTTGGCGGAGGCCTGGGGAGTAAAGAGGGATAAGGGGGAGGTAAGGTAGGGCAAAGAGAAAAGTGAAGGATCAAAGTCCAAGTGTTGGGATAAGAGGTATGTACAGAGTGGCTGAATGTAAAGTTGTGGAGTTGGGGGAGTGGATTAGGGCAATCAGAATGAGGAATGGTAGAAGAAGCATAATTAGTCCAGGGGCAAAAGTTCATAATGGCCCAGACTACAGTGCTTAGTGGCCAGAATGGAAAGGGGAAGGGAAAGAGTGGGTTATTATTTACTAAAGACTTGGATCTGTAACCTGTCCTTGGTGAATGTATTCTTCTTCAGTATACCGGGGAGACTTTATTTTTTCTGTAGAAATATTTGCTTCCAATGTTGGGGGCCTCCTTGAGCTTACAATTCAGTTGGAGGCACTGGTTTATTTTTTTAAAGATTCTACCTTTAGTGAACAGAAGGTATCAGTTTCTTCTTTTCTCATACTCGATTCAATTTTCTGCATGAGTTGGTATTCATATTTGATCTAGATCTTGCTGTTCTAACCTTCTACACCCTGTTTACTGAGTCAGTCTTCAATCCCAGGGCTTCCATGATACCTTTTCAGCCCTTTCCAGGTTTCATCTGGTTTGTCTGTCTGCCCTGGTATGTTTCCTTGTACTTCCTCTCTTCTCCCAAAAATCTATTTTGGTGTTTTCTTCTCCCCATTCTCTTTCTCTTTTACCTACAACTCCAACCCCAACATTGCCAAGATATGTGGACTCTTAAACTAATTTCTTCATTAGCCATACAGAAATCTACTTAATGAAACCATCTGCCTGCTTCCTGACATTTTATGTTTATCTGGGATACTGGGAGGTAAGAGAAGTTAACATGCACCCACACTATTCCTTGTTTTGGTGGCCTCTCCACACTGTAAAATATTTCCAGGAATAGCTTAAGAAGGTTGACATTGTGATATAACTAAAGTTTGCATTTGATATATGCAAATGATACTTGAATTTGATATAACTAAACTTTTTTTTAGCTAAAATGGGCAGTAACAAAAATTGAAAACTTTCATTATACATTTTCTATGCATCAGACACTATTCTGAGAATTTTCTATCATTTATGTACCAATCCTCCAAATTATTCTATGATGCCAGTACTATAATTAGCAACAATTAGAGGAAGAAGAACATCAGGTATAGAGAGCTAAGCAACTTACCTATGATATTTGAAAATAAGTCCTGTTCTGATCTCTGTTGTTCAATGTTGCTGTAGTTTGCTGCAAGTCGCTGGAAAATGTAATGGAATCCAGCTGCTATGACAAAAGCTACTACTTGGAAAGGTCAAGAACTTTTCTGAAGGTCAAGCCATGACTTGAGAAGTCTTGGTGATATTTTAGCTTTTAGCTGGTTTTTACAATGATTTTCTTATATGCTATGTGTGCCTCCAAGAACTCCTAACAGTGTATTTATCTAAAATACCTATCAAGCATCCAAGGCCAAACAATCTCCTGAACTAAGTAACACTTTATACAGCCTTACTAACATTATGGACTCCTAACTACTTCTAGGAACGTAGTTTGAGCACACAAATTCCCTTTTTTCTGATATATTTACTGATTTTAGCTCTCAGTTGACCTCTTTCTTTACCACTTCCTTTTAAATTAATTAATTAATTAGCTAATTAATTAATTAAATGCCAAATGTTGTTTATTGAAGGAGGGAGGAGGTCTTAAATATAGGCTTACAGCACAATGGGACAACCCTGGAGGGCAGAAGTTCGCCTGATGATGTTTTACAATCTTGCATCTAAGCTGTTAACGCCCATTATGCAGGATACACAGACAAGGATCTTCTCTTAAGCATTCAGGAGTGTGGAACCCAGCAGGAAATTAGCATAGGGAGGATATCAAGGTCAAGGTCAGCAAGCAAGGCAACAGTTACCCAAAACGGGGGCCAGGGACCTACAGGTTCCCCCCTTTTGTTAAAAAATGAGCTTCTGACTTAGGTTGCGTGGGACATTAGCAGGTCACCTTACCCGTCATGGAGACGCCTGCCCAGGCCACACAGGTGCTCTGTCTTAGGTTGCTGAGCACCCCCGAGGCATTATTCGTCTCTGAATACTCATTATAATACAGGCTCAATTGTGTGTGAGCTGCAGAGTTAACTGCTACCAAAGATCTCAAAGTGGCGCTGGGCTTGCAATCTGTGTGTTCGACACAGAAAAGACCAGCAGAAGTCCTATCCCACCCATAGCCAGTAGGTTAAAGGCAATTGAGCCATTCCCTTCCTTAATGAGCCTTTTACCACTTCCCTTTTGAGTTGTAAAAGAAAGCCTGACAGTCACTGACTGAGGAAAACTCTTGTCTGCCTTTATGACCCTGTTAGAATTTAAGCCTGGTGACCTTGCTTTGGCTAGAACATTGCTATTACATAGGTATATAGCTGTAAA